TTTTAGAAAGAAAATAACTGGAACTCTGGTTCAAGTGGTTCGATTATAAAAATTTTTGACTTAAAATTTTCTTTAAACGTTCCTCTATAACCCTATAACAATTGCATTTCTTAATCCCCATAACTTTCCTCCCTATAATTTATAAAAAATTCCTCTCTTCAAAATTCCTATACTAAAAATCTCTAATTTCCACTTTTAAACTTCTTTCCGCCATAACTCTGGTCCAAATTACCCCAGAACTTTTTAATTAGGTACAAAAGTTTCTTTGAACCTTCCTCTATAACCCCATAAAAATTTCATTCCTTAATCCCCATAACTTTCCTCCCAACGAATTTTTCAAAAATTCCCTCTTTTAAAAATTCCTATACTAAAATTCTCTAATTTCCACTTTTAAACTTCTTTCCGCCATAACTATTGTCCAAATAACCCCAGAACCTTCTAATTAGGTACAAAAGTTTCGTTGAACCTTCCTCTACAACCCCATAAAAATTTCATTCCTTAATTCCCATAACTTCCCCCTCTCCAACTTTTTCAAAAATTTCTCTAAAATTCCTTGATTTCCACATTTCAATTTTTGAAACACTATAACTCTGGTCCAAATTACTCCACCAACTTCTAATTAGGTACAAAAGTTCCTTTGAACCTTTCTCTACAACCCCCTAAAATTTCGAATCTCCACTACCATAAACTCTCTCCAAACTAGCCCATCAAAAAAGATCAATTCTTACCAAACTTCTCTATACCATTTTGATTTCTCTTAAATAAATTCCTGGCGTCTTCCACCTATCGATTAACCAGTTTAAACTCACCTAGAACTTACACGCCTATATATACAAATATATATAAGTTCAATGTTCGATGTGTGAGAAGAGAAATGATGATTACAGTCCCCCAATCCCCAATGGGGCTCGGGAATGCCATAGAGGCCCCTTTCCCTTCTTGTTCCCTCTCTCTGTGGGAACCTTATGTGCGCATTGTCGGCAGCCATCTTTGATTCGAGCTACCACGGGATTGGCTGGCTGACTTTTTAATTTACATTTTTTTTCATCACCCGGGTCGCTGTTCGCTCCATTGCCGGATAAATTCATTGTCTTTCTTGTTTCATTGAGACAACATCGCGCTCGCGGTCCATCTTTGATCATTTTTCGAAAGAGTTTACCGGGAAAATAATTTAGTTTTTTGTGTCGTAATTTGCCGGAAAATTTTGTGAAAATAATATTTAAGTGAAACTTTTTTGGATTACTGACATTTTATCAGGTAAAATTTTCTTTTAATTTTTTAATTCGTGATATTAATAACAAAAAATTAACATTTTTGATAAAAAATTGTTGAACAAATTAAAAAACAAAATCTTTTTTAAAGTAAAAATCACCGGAAAAATGGATTTTCCTAAAGAAAACTCGACAAATGTGTCTTAAATAATAATTTTCTTCACAAAAATTGACTTTAAAAAGTCCCAAAAATTTTTTTATTATAAAAAAAGTTATAAATAACTTTTAGAGGCATAAATTTTCAGTAAAATTCTTTGGAAAAGTCATTTTCTTTATGGAAAATTCAATAAAAATGTCTTAAATAATTATTTTTTATGAAAAATAACTTTAAAATGTCCCAAAAAATTGTTTTTTCATAAAAAAATTCATTTAAAAATTTTCTAGACCATCATTTTATTAAAAATAAAACTCTTAAGAAAATTCATTTTCTTTACGGAAAACTCGCTAAAAACCTTTAAAAAAAATTATTTTTTACGAAAAAGCAATTAAATATCAAAAAAATTTTTTTAAGCCACTTAAAAATATTTTTAAATAAAATTCAACCAAAAAGAATGAAAAAATTGATTTAGTACTAAGACAAAAATTAATTTTTCCTTCTTACATAAAATCTTAAAGCTTAATTTTCACCAAAAATAAATTTTCCTTCGGCTTTTGAAAAATACTTCTTCAGATTTAAGATTTAAGATTTATTTTTTCCGGACATTAATTAGGAGCTCTTTAGTAAATCTAGTTGCTTATATATACTTATACAAAATCAGAAATAGACATCAACCCTGTTCCCCTTCTCTATTTCTTTTCTGTCACCAATATCTATATAAATATATTTGTCACCGTAACTCCTGACAGGACAATTGTTGATGCCAGAAGAGTGGAAATTATTCAGTACTTCTCTTTCTCTGTTTGATTTATTCTTTTTTCCTACCTCGTTATACATTTATACGTGTATATGTATATGTTAACAATTGTTCGGGATTACATTATTATTAATATATATGTACGTGAATAATTTCTGCCTCGTAATGCCCGAGTTATTATTGCAATCGGTCGTTAGGGATGAAAATGAAAATGAAAATGAAAATGGAAAATATGAAAAATGATCTGTCAGCGGCTCTGTATATATGTATATATAGATTCGAGCTGCTCTGATGAATATCCTGATGATTATTATGATGACCCGGAAAAGAAATTTTATAAATTCGGGCTCGGATGAATTGCTAAATTTTGTTAAAATTTTTTTTTTTTATTTTTTTGAGCTATTCAAGAATTGGAAGTGGGTTTTGAACTTTGGGGCGCTGTAACTTGGGCTGTAATTGTACGAAAGACTTTTATAAGGACGCAAAAGTTTCTTTGAACCTTCCTCTAAGACCCCATAAAAATTTCATTCCTTAATCCCCATAACTTTCCTCCCAACAACTTTTTCAAAAATTCCCTCTTTTGAAAATTCCACTAAAATTCCTTAATTTTAACTTTTAATTTTGAAAACACCATAACTCTGGTCCAAATTACCCCAGAACCTTCTAATTAGGTACAAAAGTTTCTCTGAACCTTCCTCTATAACCCCATAAAAATTTCATTCCTTATACTTTCCATAACTTTCCTCCCAACGAATTTTCCAAAAATTCCTCAAAAATGTTCTAATTTTGATTTTCCATTTCTAAGACACCATAACTCTGGCCCTAATTACCCCAGAACCTTCTAACTATATAAAAAAGTTCCTTTGAACCTTTCTCCAAGATCCCATAAAAATTTGACTCCTCAATCTCAATTCCTCTTGGCGATACAACGAAAATAAAGTCTTCAATTTGTAGCTCTCAATAATAACCCCGACATGAAAGAGGGTGTTGTCAGCCATTATCGTCCTCCGAGGCCACGAATTTAAACCAGACAATGGCCGCTACTCGTTATATTAATGTACCAGGCATGCCTCAAAAAGGTGTGGGACCTTCTTCTCATTATTATTCTTTTTTAGTCTCTTGGCCACTCAAAGTCAGACCGCCGAACAAAAAAGAACAAGCGTAAATATAAATTATTATAAAAACTAGCCACCTTCATTATTATTATCATTATTTTTATCCTTTTGTGGTTGATGGGTACGATAATGTCTGTGGATAAATAAAAATATTCTCGGTCTCTACTGTTAACCGAAAGAAAACTAAACGCAGGTGAATTATTTGTTACCTGCTTGCTAGTCTGCATGCTTCTTTTCTCGAGTGTACTTTTAGTCGAGCTGCAGGTTCAGCTTGAGAGCGACTTATTATTATATTAAGGACGGTTACTCTCTTCTGGGGTTTAGCCTTCATCATTATGGCTCGAATTATTCCTTACGAGTCTTGCGGGACATGTTTGTAGTGGTAATTATCCGTTTAAAGGGAAATTGGAGGAGAGATAAGAGGAATTTTGAGGATTGTAAGGAAGGAAATGAAAGTGGGAATTTTTTAAAAATTATGGGGGTCTAAAGGAAGGTTTGAGGAAAGTTTTGTATATAATTAAAAGTTGATAGGGTAATTTGGACCAGAGTTATGGTGTCTTAAAAATTAAAAGTGGAAATTAGAGAATTTTTGAAAAAGTTGTAGGGAGGAAAGTTATGGAGATTAAGAAATTTAGTTTTTATGGGGTTGTAGGGGAAGGTTCATAGAAACTTTTGTATAAAATTAGAAGTCGGTCGGATAATTTGGACCAGAGTTATGGCATTTTGAAAATTAAAAGTTAAAATTTGAGAATTTTCGAGAAATTTTGAAAAGGTCGTAGGGGGGAAAGTTATGGGGATTAAGCAATGAAAATTTTATTGGGGTTATAGAGGAAGGTTCAAAGAAACTTGTGTACTTAATTAGAAGGTTCTGGGGCAATTTGGACCAGAGTTATTGTCAAAAGAAGTTTAAAAGTGGAAATTAGAGTATTTGTAAAAAAATTTTCAGTTTTTTCATTTTTAAAAAATTGTAACTCGGAAAATTATTAAGATTAAGGAATGAAATTTTTATGGGGTCTCAGAGGAAGGTCTAATGTAATTTTTGTATATAAATATAAGGATCTGGGGCAATTAGGATCAGAGTTACAGCGTTTTAAGGTTTAAGATTCAGAATTAGTAACTTTTTACAGGATTTTCAAGTGAAAATTTGTTAAAAAATTCGTAGCTTGGAAACTTATGGGAATTAAGAGCTGAAATTTTGTGGGGTCCTAGAGGAAGGTCCAAACGAACTTTCGTACCTTAATTAAAGTCTCTAAAATAATTCCAACGAAAGTTACTCCAATTTAAAATCCACACCCTAATTTTCTTCTATTTTTCAAACACACCCCAAAGTTGACATTAAATTCCGAGCTTTCTACGAGTTTCCGAGCATACCTACAGATCCCACATCCTACTCGAGTTCCAGCTGCTACGAGAGAAATCGTTCCAATAAAAGATTCGATCCCTGGTAGGGGATCGCGGTCTGTTATTGGCTGCGGGGCGGAGCCCGAGGGGAATTTAGCGGTTGCAGGTGGATCCTATCCCTAATCCCCGGCGGGTTCTCCTTGGTAACTTTTTAGGGATCCCCTCCCGAGGCCCGAGGATCCGGCGTCAGTTCTCGAGCGACGATCTTTAACGGCAAACCAATTTTTGCCGCGTCATTTACGGATTTTGTGTTGTGAAGAGAAAAGTGACAAGAAAAATAAAAAAATTTTAGAAAATTTTGAAAAAAATTCTTGAAAATTTTGGAAAATTTTTTTGAGTGTGAATTTTTGGTGAATTTCCAGGTGAATACATTCTAGAAAATCCAAGTCTAGAAGGAACCAGTGGGGAAAGTGGCTCGGAGCCTGGACCGTCGTTGGATGACCCCGAGATCGGACTCGAGGACTCTTTGGGCCTAAGCAACAATTTTGGGCTCGAGGATGACTTTCCGTCGGAACTTTTGAGCGATAGCCTGCTTGCTAGCGCGGGAGTCGACGGATTACTCTGCAACGACTCGCTTGGGCTTCCCGACGGGTTCAATCTCGAGGAGGCCCTGCAGCTTGTGGGACTCAATGAGCAGCCGGAGGTAAGTGCGAATTTTTGGGAAATTCAGAGAAAATTTGGAGGAAATTTAACAAACCGTTGGAAGGGAAGTTATGGGAATTAAGGAGTGAAATTTTTATGGGGTTGTAGGGGAAGGTTCAAAGAAACTTTTGTACTTAGCTAGAAGTCGGTAAGGTAATTTGGACTAGAGTTATAGAAGCAAGAAGTTTAAAAGTAAAAATTAGAGAATTTTTGGAGGAATTTTGAAATGAGAATTTTTGAAAAAATTGTCGGGAGGAAAGTTATGGGAATTAAGGAATGAAATTTTTATGGAGTTATAGAGGAAGGTTTACAGAAACTTTTGTATAAAATTAGAAGTATGTGGGGTAATTATTAGGGCCAAAGTTATGAAGGTAAGAAGTTTGAAAGTGGAAATTAGAGGTTTTTTGTAGAATTTTGAAAAGAGGAATTTTTGAAAAAGTTGTAGGAAGGAAGTTTATGAGAATTAATGAATGGAATTTTTATAGGGACTTAGAGGAGAGTTCAAAGAAACTTTTGTATAAAATTAGAAGGTTCTGGGGTAATTAGGGCCAGAGTTATGGAGGAAAGAAGTTTGAAAGTGGAAATTAGAGAATTGTAGCAGAATTTTTAAAAGAGGAATTTTTGAAAAAGTTGTAGGGAGAAAAGTTATGAGAATTAAGACATGAAATTTTCATGGAGTTGTAGAGGAAGGTTCACAGAAACTTTTCTATAAAATTAGAAGTCGGTGGGGTAATTAGGGCCGGAATTATGGTTATTTAAAGTTTCAAACTAAAAATTAAAGATATTAGTAGTGAAAATCAGAAAAAAAATTCTGGGTGATTTTTTTTCAGGAAAAAGAACTGAAGAAACGCGACCGAGGAGGCTTGAGAGTGCGCAATCAAGACGAGTTGTCCTCAACCTCCCCAACTCCCTCAACTTCGACCTCAACCTCCATTTTGAGCTCCAATTCGATCCTCGAGGACGCCGAAATCGACGAAATGATGCACACGCAGCAGTACCACCCTCACTCCCACCCTCACCTTCACCCCCATCGGCACTACCAGGTAATTATTCAGTTATTAATTTTTCTAGCCACCTAAATATGTTAAAAAAATAAATTTCATTAGAAAAAAAAAGGTTAGAATATAAATTTAATCTAATTAAAAGCCGACGCAATCAGAATAACCGTTAGAGCGACGGTCCCACATGTCAAAACACATCCGAAAAGGTAAAAAAAAAAAACAAGACAATTATTTAACGGGTAATAAACAGACGAAATAAAACAAAATTCCCCAATTACTTCATTTTTTTAAACTTCTAACACTTTAGTGTCTCCTGAAGCCTAAAAAAAAAAATTCCACGCATCAGCTATCACTAATTTCTCGTTAAAATTCTTTACCGTAACCGTCGATAACTCCCAAGTTGCTCAAAAACAATTATAATTACTATAAAGTACAATTACTCATTGTTTTTCAATTTTATTTCAAATTTCAATTACTTCAAGAATAATTAGATTAATTATTTATTTTAGGACTGATTGGATAGGAAATATTCCGGGCTACAAAAAAGTCTCCTAAGAAATTTTTCTATTTTCAATATTTCCCGTGTTATAGGCGTTCAAACTTAAGACAGAGTAAATTTAGGTTCTGAAAAAAAAAAAAAAAAAAAATATTTATTACCTTCTGAGTACTTGAAGGGCCCACAGGTGTTATGTGTGAATAATGATAACAGCAACGAGACCAAGTGTCCAGACGGATTGGACATCGAGTACCCCCCACTCCATCTTGTCATACAAATTACAGTTACTCGGTCTTTGTACTTGCAATATGCATTCACTTGCTTCAGTTGTCGCTCAGTAGTCTCTCGGTACGCCGGTTTGTCGATTTTAAGTAAAATAGTTGTTAATTTTTCGGAGTTTTTCGTACTTTATAAAATTACAAGTGATAAATTGTGTGTTGTAACATAGTGAGTGAATATTTTTAAGTGAAAAATTTTTTCTCAGTTGGAGTTTTCTGGAAAAACAAAAAAAAAATTTATGGAAAATAATTTTCCGCACTTATGAATGTGGAATGTTTAAATTTTCTCCCAGAAGCGGAATTTCAGGTGAGAAAATTTTATTCCGGAAAATTTATTAATTTTCTCAAGGTTTTTGAGGAAAATATTTGAAAACAAATTGCCTGGAATTTTTAGGTTAGCGTCAGAAGAAAAGAAAATGTCCGACGTTTAATCTTGTATTTACATTTATTCGGAAAAACTCAATTTTTTAGAATAGGAAATTTTTTTTGAGAAAAACTAAAATAATCAGCTTGTAGCTTGGAAAATTCTCTACAAATTTTCACCATTAAAAAATTTTCAATTTTCTTTTAATATTTTCAAAAAAATGTTTTAAAAGTTAAAAACCGCAAAATTGACGTTGATTTTTGTTTTTTTTAGACCTTAAATCTAACTTTCCCATCTCGGAAAATTTTTTTTAGAAAAACTAAGAAAATGCACTTGTAGCTAAGTAAATTATCTACAAATTCCACCTATCAAAATATTTTTATTTCCCACTGGACTCTTTTGGGAACATTTATAGCCAAAATTCCCCTTAAATTCCGACTTTTTGGACTTTTCCGGGATTTTTCCGAGTTTAAAATTTTTTTTTGAAAAACTGCGCACGAAGGCTTGTTCCTTATTCAATTATCTACAAATTTCACCAATCAAAATTTTTTTATCTTTTAATATACTCTTCTGGGAACATTTATAAACTCAAAATTTATCTTAAATTCCGACTTTTTGTCCTTTTTGGACTTTTCCGGGAATTTCCCGGGTTTAAAACTTTTTTTTCCCAAAACTATGCATATATTCTTGTAGTTTATAAAATTCTCTAAAATTCTTCAAAAATTCTCATAAGACCCTAAAAAAATCCCAAGTTATTGTTAGTAATTTGAGCCTTAGACTACTAATGGGAAAATAATTACCGATAATAGTATAATTACGTCCCTCCCATTCATCCCGTATGACCTGGGACTAAGTTACGGAAAGAATGACAATTAAGACGTAAGTAGAGTGAATTAAAGTAGTGTATATATGTAATGAAATACAGAGCAATTAGAGTCTAAGGTGAGTAAGGTCAGTGTTAATGTGAGAGGAGTTACCAAAAAATGACATGTTACATTACAATTATAATTAAGTACACGTCTAGTCTCTAGTATAATGTACACCGGCTAAGTTACTCGTCGCTTGTTGCATAACGCACAATAACTCTCAATGCTATTACCTGAAAAAAGTAATATTATAAATAATTAGAGATTTAAATAAAAACATAATAATAAAAGGACAGTGCATTAAGTTAAGAAATAAAACACGAGCACAACTTCTTATAAAATGAGAAATATATTCATTTAATTCACTCATTAAATGGATTTGTCCTCCGTCGTAATGACACACTCGCTAATATATCATGCACGACAATTATTTGCACGATTATTCCCCTTTTTTATTAAGACAATTCGATTTTAATTGCCAAGGTGTATTCAGGTCACTTTATTTTAATAATTTGAGATTTTAAGAGTTTCCGTGGGGGCTTTTGCAAGTTTTGGGAGTCTATTTTAAAGGAAATTTTGCGCGCTACAGAAAAAATGTCTAAAAATTCTTGTAGGGACGGTAGTTTTGGAGATATAAGCATTTTAAAGGAAGACTGGAGGAAAATTTAGGTTAATGAGTTTGGAAAGGTAATTTTTGAAAAAAGTTGTTCGGAGGGAAATTATGGGGATTAAGGAATGAAATTTTTATAGGGTTGAAGAGGAGGGATTGAAGGAACTTTTGTATAAAATTAAAAGTCGGTGGGGCAATTAGGGCCAGAGTTATGGCATTTTGAAAATTGAAAGTTAAAATTTGAGAATTTTAGCAAAATTTTAAAAAGAAAAATTTTTGAAAAAGTTTTTGGGAGGAAAGTTAAGGGGATTAAGGAATGAAATTTTTATCGGGTTGTAGAGGAGGAATTGAAGGAACTTTTGTATAAAATTAGAAGTCGGTGGGGTAATTTGGACGAGAGTTATGGAGGGAAGAAGTTTAAAAGTGAAAATTAGAGAGTTTTAGCAGAATTTTGAAGAGAGAAATTTTTGAATAAGCAGTTGGGAGGAAAGTTATGGGGATTAAGGAATGAAATTTTTATGGGGTTATAGAGGAAGGTTCAAAGAAACTTTTGTACCTAATTAGAAAGTTCTGGGGCAATTTGGACCAGAGTTATGATCAAAAGAAGTTTAAACAGACGAAAATTCTTATAATCTTAAAGAAAAATTGAGTCAGTTAAAAGCATTTTTTGTAGCTTTAATTTTAAAAGTAACAAAAAAGGATAAGAAGCAATTTTGAGGCTTAGGTGAATGCTAAAACCGGTAATTCTAGTAATTACAAGTTTTAACCGCAGGTAGACGAAAGCTGTCAAAATGTTGCCGAACAATCGGCACTCGAAAAGTCTAAAGTATAGTAAAGTGTAAAGTTAAAAATTGAGAAAATTTCTACCTGCTTTGATCGGACAGTTTTTTTCAGAGGAAAATAAAATCTTTGGTTGGGATCTTTGGCAATCCTGAAAATAGTTAACTGTTTAGGAAGAAAAGTCAAATGATTAGTCACAGACAAATTTCTGCGGTTATTTTGTGGGATACGGTCACTACTTTGTAATTAATCAATTGTTCGGTCAAAGCGGTTCTTCTCAGACGTTTTGAGGGACAACTTTTGGGGTTACGCTTCATAGGTGATTTTAGGCGAGGAGTCAAAGGGTTTTTTCTTTTTTTTTATTTTTGATACTTTTTTTTGGTGTTGACGTGGGTGAAATTCTTTATAAAGGACATTTTGAAAAATTCGTTGGAAGAAAAATTATAGGGATTAAGGAATGAAATTTTGATAGGGTTCTAGAGGAAGGTTCAAATAAACTTTTGTATAAAATTAGAAGCCGGTGGGGCAATTTGGACCAGAGTTATGGAATTTTGAAAATTAAAAGTTAAAATTTGAGAATTTTTGAAAAATTTTGAAAAGAGAATTTTTGAAAAAATTGTTGGGAGGAAAATTATGGGACTTAAGGAGTGAAATTTTTATGGGATTGTAGAGGAAGGTTTAAAGAAACTTTTGTATAAAATTAGAAGTATGTGGGGTAATTAGGGCCAGAGTTATGGTAACTTAAATTTTAATTTAAAGTATAATTCTAAAAATTTTTTTTCTAGCAATTTTTTTCATGATTTAACTTCCTTATTAAGTCGTCCTTGACTTCACATACATTTTATATATATATATATATATATATATATATATATATATATATATATATATAT